AGTATAACCCTCAGCTAATTTTTAAAGCTTTTTATAGAGACAGGGTCATGCTATGCTGCCCAGACTGGTCTTGAACTCTTGGGCTCAAGCAATCCTCCCACCTCAACCTCCCAAAGTGCTGGGATCATAGGTGTCAGCCAGTGGCACCAAGCTGTCCTCATCATTTTCAATAATAAGTTCCGACTGTCGATTCTTTTAAACTCTTATTTTTAGTCTATTACCCCACTGAAAGCAAACGTTGGGGGGAAAAATATTCAAAAAGAAAAATACATGCTTTTTGTCTCTTATTTTTAAATGAGAAAAGCTAACATAAAATGTGTAGACCTATTCAACATCTATATACTTATAAAAACATATTCAATACATCCAGATTCCAATATATATTTATGGCATTCGATGTACATAACACTCCATGAAACCACACATACCAATCAGAAAGCCTTCTAGATAGATCTGCATCTATTCAGGCAGAAATAAGTATGTATAAAACATGCCCTTTTGGGAAAGAATTTATCCAAATTAATAAGCATGCAAATGACACAAAGTTTTACTTAAGAAACTCAGAAAAAAAGAAACATGAGTATTAAGAGAAAGATACTGAAATTGCAGGATTTTTTTTTTCCTGAAATTCTTTCGAGGTACCAGGATAAGAAACAAATTTGCCAGCTCAACTTCAGTGCAGACTGAAATGAATGAAAACCTGTCAGCGTGAATTGCCACTGCAAGAGAATGTGGGAAGAATGGCTTTCTGTGGCATGGGTTGTTGTTATTGATAGGCAAATCCCCAAATCACACAACAGCTCCTACTCTGCCGTTATCCGACACACTAATTTCACAGGTGGCAGTCCTGTCTTTGTAACAAAGACTTTGTTTGGAGAGAGAATGTGAAGGCAGTACTTCACCCCACTAAGGCATTCAAAGTCAGACTGTAATATAGAATATATGTGAATAAAATATTCCATTTATACATACTTCACTAGATCTCTAAACAAAGAGAATGTCAACCTCCAGAAAAAGCCTGTTTTGCAACGTTTAATATTTCATTTCTCTAAAGTCTGCTGGAATGGCTGCATAGCAAAAGGACCCAATTTTTGCTTAGAGACTTTAAAAAAAAAGTTTTGGGCTATTGGTCAGTGGAGGAGTTAGCTTTCCTTAAATTTAAACTGGAAAAACAACCCAAATATTTATCAATAGGTGAATGGATAAACAAATTGTGGTATATCCATATAATGGAATATTACCAGGCAATAAAGAGAAATTTATAGAGCTAAGTATCCACCCAATTGATGAATCTCAAAAGCATTACACACACAAAGCCAGAGTAAAAGACTATAAACTGCATGATT